AAGAAATGTTACTCGGAGGGGTAAAGTTCGCTTTTACCTTTAACTTTCAGTGTCAATATGTGAATAAGTGAAGTGTAAGTCGTTTGCCAGTGACCGTGTTTATTTGCGGAGCAGTGTTGACCTCAGCACCACCTGCCTTCCACCCCGAACTATCCTCTTAGAACTATCCTGGGAGATGATAGGATCGTGTGGGCCAGACAGTGTTGTCTCGGTTCATGCAGGATATAGTATACACTGAGACGTGTGCTTCTTTGAGTGTGTATTTATACACGCTGAGAGGCTATTTTGATCTCTATTTTAGGAATTAAAGTATTCTTGACTGATAGTGAACAGGTTAAATGCAGTCGTAATGACCACTGTGTAGTCGAGAGGCCTTAAAACCGACTGACCAACCACTCAGTTCCTCGAGTGTTGGTAAGTATCGGCCCTTTGTGTTATTCTGTTGGTTTCAAGTTATTTTAGCGTCAACGCATCTCTCTTCTTCAGCCTTTTCGTGTAACTGAAAGTAATATTTTTATGACATTCCTTTGACCGGCCTTCAGCTTGCCGTGTGAGAATTTGCTGTGAGAGAGAAGGGCTTGATTGAAGGTCCTACCTAGAGTGAGCCAGTAGTCTGCTATTGTACTCTTCTATTCTTATGTTCAGTCTTTATGAATAAGATTAGGTGAGCTATTATAAGCCGCAGAGAACGGGCTGCCAGGCCACTACCGTGATTGCTTATATTTTTCTTGTTTGCAATTCCCGTTTCACCTATGCGAGAGAGGAAAAAGAGCCAGTCTTCTTCGCCTTGCGAGTTAACTCACTTCATCATCTACTGTCGACCTGGCATAATTTTGAGGTCAGTCTCTTGCCGACTCAACTAGATGTTAACCTCTGTCTCCTGACTGAACATATAACTGGTTGAGTGGAAAACATTCACATTCTTCATTCATTAACTTCTCTACGAGATTACGTCCCTCGCTCACTCACCATCTTGACTCTCCTGTGCAGCGGGGGGGGGGGGGTCGATGCTCCCGAGTCCAATGTTCAATCGGTGTTTCAATCGTCTCGTTACTGCCACGATCCTCAGTGTCACTCAGCTGGTGTCATCTTGTACTCTGCTGGATGGTCTCCTGTCATCCACACTTGTCTCTCTGGCTGACAACTGTACTTTTGCCGTTGTATTAATAGTATGCAATACCGACAAGCAGACGATTATTACAATCAACAAGCAGACGAGAATAACACATGTGCAGCAGTTGGGTATCCTTGTTGGTGTAACGTTTCACCTGCTTAGCAGGATTCTTCAGTCAAATACAGAGGTGATTTAAATATTCGAGTGAATTATTATTATTATTATTGGAAGCGCTAAACCCGTAGGGGTTACACATCGCCTGTTGGTGGAGGAAGGCATTCAGGCTTAATTCAAGGAACTGGAGCACAGATCCAATTCCCTAGGAAGAGCCCCTCACCAGCCTGAAGGAACCTCCCTCGAGGAGTACATTCGACTGAAGAAACCTCTGGAGCAAGCGATAAACGTTTCGACATTAGATACCCAGCTGGTACGCTTGTCTTGCTCATCTACCAGCTGTACAGCTGTTACTCCTGGAGATCCGGACTCGTGTTCGACACTCCTGAGGAAAGTGTTGTCGCTGTGAACCTCCAAGTCAGTCCTAAATGATTTACTGATGTTCTTTTCTAACCTCTGCTTCAGCTAGGATGATCTTCCACTCTTGTTTTTATTCCTGATATCCGAGCAATTAAAGTGATGGACTTTAATGTTCCTTACTTTAAACCATTTGTTTATTAAACTGAGTTTGATTTTTTCAACACTTCATTTGTTATATGAAGATTATTATGATCTTCCCTGAATATTCACGTCATTATCTCTGGGTTATCTTCTGAGGCAGTGAGGAAAGTGACTCTCTCAGCATGAAATGTTATATTGGCCTCAGGAGAGCGGTAAATGAATCTCTAAGTCATGGAGGAATATTATTTTCTCCCCTCTCTTGAGAAAGTGAACAGCCAGTTATCTCTCTCTTTCATCTTACCTCCCCATCTTCCCCAAGCAGCAAGCTCCCAAACAACGCACTGTTAACCTCTTTGAGTCCTCTCCCTGGCTTTCCTCTCAGGGCTTTGCGGAGGCTTCTGTAATCTTCTTGGTAAGCCATTATGGATTACAACTTGCCAGAAGCAGGAGTCAAAACACCACCAGCGCAGCAATTTAGAACTATTGTTGGGAACGGTGTAAAATACGGACAGGATGAAGATTAAGACACATGTGCAACAGTTGAATGTCTTTACTGACGAAACTTTTCGCCTACACGGTAGGCTTCTTCAGTCAAATATAAAGGAAGCAAGTATATTATTATTATAATCAAAAAGAAGCGCTAAGCCACAAGGGCTATACAGCGGAAGCAAGTATAATAGTGAAATAAAGATGCAATCAGTCCATCAACTTTGGAGAAAAAGGATTTGAGGTGGTCAGTCTCTCAACCTGGAGGAGAGTTCAGTTCCATGTGTTTTAATGTTTAGTTCCCAACAAGTTCACAATACCATGACCGAGAGGATTCACGACTCAGACACAATACCACGAGTGGAACAATTCGCTAATAACCCACACTTAAGAGGAAGCTTTAGGCGACGTTTCGGTTAATCTTCGACCATCGTCAAGTCAGTTGGTAAGGATGTAGGAGGGAGTAAAACGCAACTTTCAGTTTCCTTACAAGTGCGTGAATCTTGCGAGAGTTTATGCTGTGAAAGAAAAACCTTTCCAGAACATATATTGGGAGAGCGCTTTAATCATATCTCTATCGATCTATACTAGAGTTCATCTCCCAGATTATCTCGAGTGAGAGACCGCGGCGAGACAGCCTTCCCTCCTGAGTTATACGCAGCAGAGCCACCCCTTGATACGGGAGCATCCTTACCCGAGCCATCTCTCATACCCTCTCCTGCAAGGGTTCCTTGATGATGGTGAGGGGCTCTTGATTTAGGGAATCGGGTCTGTGCTCCAGTTCCCCGAATTAAGCCTGAATGCCTTCCACATCCCTCCCCCCCAGGCGCTGTATAACCCTACGGATTATTATAATAATCTCCTGCAAGAGACTGAGGCAGCATCCTCAGCATCTGGGGTCAGAAACTGAGGTGAGATAGTCTCTCCCCCCGGAGTCATCTCTCAGATAATCTCCTTCAAGGCAACCTGTTATTATTTAATCAGAGGGAAGCGCTAAATTCGTATGTGTCATATAGCGCCTATGAGCTAATCAGGTTTAAGCCAAGGAAGGGGAAGATATCGCCATTCCCTCGGATCATGAGCGATTTAATTGCATCGGGTTGCTCCCCCTGAAGGGATCATACTAGCGAGAAAGCCCCAAACGCGTATGGGTCACACAGTAAGGAGGAAACCAAGTTTGATCCCAGGAAGAGGATACCTCCAGTTTACTGCATGTGAAACCCTAGGTCAACCCCCATGTGTGTGTGTGTGTGTGTGTGTGTGTGTGTGTGTGTGTGTGTGTGTGTGTGTACTCGCCTATTTGTACTCACCTATTTGTGGTTGCAGGGGTCGAGTTTTAGCTCCTGGCCCCGCGTCTTCACCGGTGTGTGTGTGTGTGTGTGTGTATGCGCGCGCGAGGGGGAGAGGGGGAGAGAGAGAGAGAGAGAGAGAGAGAGAGAGAGAGAGAGAGAGAGAGAGAGAGAGAGAGATTCTCGACAATATACATTACAATAGTTGTCGACAATTTATAATGCAAATACAGGCATTATAACACAAGGGAAAGCAGCTTCCAACATTGTATTATACAAGTGGCTTTCAAGAATGTATAAATACAACAAGGGCGGCATCTTGTATACAACAAACGTGTCCACTCAGGAGGCGGCGCTGAGAAAAATATCTCAGCCTCAAGAGATTTAAACTAACAGTGTCAACATTTGTCAAGACTGAGAGTATTGGCCTCAGCTGACCTGCAGGGGAGGGGAAGGGAACCAGGGAGAAGGGGAGGAAGGGAACCAGGGAGAAGGGGAGGAAGGGAGAGAAGGAAGTGGAGAGGGAAGGGAGAGAAGGAAGTGGAGAGGGAAGGGAGAGAAGGAAGTGGAGGGAAGGGAGAGAAGGAAGTGGAGAGGGAAGGAGAGAAGGGAGTGGAGAGGGATGGAGAGAAGGGAGTGGAGAAGGAAGGGAGTGGAGAAGGGAGAAAAGGGAGTGGAGAGGGAAGGAGGGGAGACGGAGAGGAAAGGAGGGGAGACGGAGAGAGGGGGAGATTAGCGATAGAATGTGAACGAAGAGGAAGATTGAAAAACAGAGAAGGAAAACTTGTGTGAATAGATTGTTATAATCATGGGGAAGCGCTAAACCTTCTGTGAATAGAGAGAAAAGAAAGAGGGTTAAAGGGAGGAGAGAGCAGAGAATCTGAGGGGGGGGGGGTTACGCACTCAAAATCGAAAATGAACGAGAGGTTGAATGGCTGGAAAAGGCAAGAATAAAGACATGACAGAATGAGAAAGAAATGGATGATAGGATGGATTATTATAATCATGGGGGAGCGCTAAACCCATAGGATTATACAGCGCATGTTGGGGGAAAGATGGAAGGTATTCAGGCTCAGTTCAGGGAACTGGAGCACAGATCCAATTCTCTAGATCATGAGCCCCTGACCAGCGTCAAGGAACCTTCCATGAGGGGACGACAGGATAGAGGATGCTGGGATGACAGGATGCTGGGATGACAGGATGGAGAAATTCTACATTCCACTCATACGGAAAGCACTAAACCCGTAGGGGAGTCATACGAGGGCCTGGGGGGACGGAAGGGAATGGGAGGCAATCAGATTCGATCCAAGGGGATAGCAGCTCCAGTTCCTCAGATCAAGAGCCCTTCACCACCATGAAGGCACCTCTTCCCCAACCCTCCTTGAAGGTGGACGGGGGGGATGGTAACTACAGATGGGCAAAACGTGCAGGATTTTGAGCCACACTGACCTCTTACATTTCACATATATGCAAACAACTTGGATTTATTAAAAAAAGCAAAGCTGTTTTTATTAGTTAATATATACACACACGAGAAATATTTTTGACCGGAATTAAAACGGGAGCATAAAATATCAGTAAAAAAATCAATAAAAATAAATCACTGATACTGGTCAACCCAATGGTGACCTCAGATTAAAAACTAAAATAAAATTTAATGTACGTACGTACATGACGTACGCTCTCGCGTACTGCTATTAAGGCCTCGTGACTTTCCTGACTTTTTCAAATGCCTGGGCTTGTCCTTCGAACTCTCAGGCTTGGTTTTCGAACTCTCATGCTTTACTTTCGAACACTTAGGCCCGGCTTTTGAACCCTCAGGTTCTGTTTTCGAACGCTTGAGTCTGAAAGAACCTGAGGCTCCTTTGCCCGTAACCTGTACAAGATCTCCAGACAAGACATCGCGTTTAAGAGCCACATTCAGATTAATTTTCACCATTTTCTCGTTCACAGCGAACGTGGAGAGAATGTACTTGAGAATGGCCTGACGTGATGAACCTTTACTTTCATCGAGGGACCTAATGGCGGCAGTAATCATCTGTGAGTACGACGGGTGGTTGCATATCTTCTTGGTGGTGCTGCCTTCAGCTTCCTCGTTGGGATTCTCAGATCGATTCTCGCCGACGGCTACCTTCTCGCGAGGCTTCCTGGTTGTATCTTTCCCCCCTCAGCAACAGGAGGCTTTCAGTTGGCTTTCCTTTAAGATTTTTTCTACGGAGAGACGATCTCCTGAGGGTAAACCTCCATGCTCCATCCTCCTCGCCAACAGGCATCCCGGTGGAGTCCTTTGCAGCAGTGGGCTTTCGGGCAGGTTTCCTAGTAGAGGCCTTGTTAGCAGCAACCTTCCGAGTGGAGTTTTCAGCAGGAGCCTTCCGAGTGGAGCTCTCAGCAGCAGCCTTCCGAGTGGAGCTCTCAGCAGCAGCCTTCCGAGTGGAGCTCTCAGCAGCAGCCTTCCGAGTGGAGCTCTCAGCAGCAGCCTTCCGAGTGGAGCTCTCAGCAGCAGCCCTTTTCCGAGTGAGCTCTCAGCAGCACCTTCCGAGTGGTAGCTCCTCAGTCAAGCAGCCTTGCCGAGTGGAGCTCACAAGCAGCAGCCTTTCCGATGGAGCTCTCAGCAGGCAGCCTTCTAGTGGAGCTCTCAACAGCAGCCTTCTGGGCGTTGAATCTTGTAACAAGCAGCTGGCGGGCTTCCATCATCCTTTGCACTGCTCTATAACCCAGAAGCATGGCAGTTTCTGGAAGGCCCTTCTGCAGGTATTGCGCGCCCTCTCTTTCAGGTGGTTCAGTTCGTAAGCCTCGTTGAGGTACCGAAGGATACAGCGACGCGTGGAACCATTGCGTTCCTTCAGGGCAGTGATAGCCTCCAGAATGAAAGCACTTCCTGAAGTGACCTCCACTTGCTTTATATCACTACCTTCGCGTTGCTGTTACTGCCATTCCTGTTTGCTTGGAAAAAAAAAAAATTTGTCGACATTGTTATAATTATAAAAGAAACAGTGTTTGCATAATCAGGAGAAAGCTCTAAAGTAGTGAAGGTTATACATCGCATAAGGAAACAGAAACAATCTAAACTGGAAGTGAAAAGGTGACGTCTGCATGATCCTGTTGTAGCTGATAGACAACAACGATTAACAAACAAATTACTAGCTAATTCTTACAATAAAAATTATAATCAAACTGAAAGAGTATAACAGATATATAGAGATTATATATAAATATATATATATATATATTATATTATCTATATATATATATAAATATATATAATATATATAAATATAATATGCAAAACAACCACTCTGAAAGTATAAGAAATTCCAAGGCGGTTCGTGACTACTCACATTATCAAGGAACTTGGAACTTGAATTTCTCTCTATTCTTTCATAGTGGTTGTTTGCATATTTTGAAATCACCTGTTTTACTGTGATTTTATTGCATATATATATATAAAAATAAAATATATATATATATAATATATATATATATATAATATATATATCTATAAATAATATATATATTTACAACACAACACACACACAACACACAGTAGCAAAGGGACAGCTGTCAGGAAAGACATTCACTGAGAATAGAAGTTTCAAATATGACAGGGACTGAAGTGGCAAGAACATGTCAAGGAAGGAAATAAAATGCCTCAAAGATGCAAAAGGAACTCAGAGGGCGGAGGAGGAAAGGAAGGGGGGCGAGGTCAGTTTGTGTACGGGCACCAAGAAGCCAATGGGGAACAACTTTGAAGAATAAAACAGGAGGAAAAAAAAATGATTGAAGGCATCATGAAAACAATAGGTGAGGGCGATATGACCCAGGTGACAAATTTTCAGAGAATGGGTGGTTTGCGAGTGGAAGGATCGGCCTGTCAAAGTAATTTTCAAGGAAGAATCAGTTTTGAACCAGGATTCTGCAAGAGAAAGCAAGACTGAGGGGCAAAACAGGGGTACCAAAAAGTATACCTCGACCGCGACAGAACCAAGACAAAAGGACTACACGAAAAAGAGGGTACAGAGACGCAAGGAGGAACGAGAGGCAATGACAAGAAAGAGCAGACCCAGACACAGAGGAAGGGCAAACACACCCCACAAATCTTCCACCAAAAGACTCCAACCACGACATTCCCAAAACAACTGAGCAACCTATACTACAACCCACTCACTGTTCCCTCTGCCACCAACCCCCAAATCACAAACCTCAACCCCAACAGCTGTCCCTTATGGGCATCTGACCCCACCCCCATCCCTCACAAACCCCACCTACAAACCCCAGCCCCATATAGGCCCCCACCAAGGCCCTCGCTCCCCCAACCCCAATATTCTTGCATGACCACAATGATAGAAAAGAAACTGAAAGTTTGGTACACAAACGCGGATGGAATAACGAAAAAAACATGAGGATGGAACGAAAAAATCAGTGAAAAATCCCCAGACATCAAGCATCACCAAAACAAAAACTCGCTGAGACAATAACAGACACAATCTTCCCAATGGGATATCAGATCCTGAGGGAAAAATAGAAGGAGTAGAGGGGGAGGAGGGGTTGCACTGCTCATAAAACACCGATGGGGATTTGAGGAAATGGAAGGCATGGACATGATTGGGGAAAGACTACATTTAGGGACAATTCACTCCGAGAACATAAAGTAGTCATTGGAGTGATGTATAACCCACCACAGAACCCGCAGGAGGCCAAAGAGGAGACAAAGAAAACAACAGGGGATGGGGGACCCCAGGGCTGGGGGGTGGCAAGAAGAGCTCACTCGAGCAAAAAAGTTACTGGTAATGGGCGATTTCAACCAGGGATCGACGGGGAAAACCTGGAGCCACAGGGGGGTCCCCGAAACAGGAGAGCCAAATGAGGGATTGGTACTTGAAAACCTCTTTCCAACATGCGGGGACACAACCAAGAGAGAGGGGAGGATGACCACAGACGGATTTTGTTTCACCCTGACATTTCAGACATTGAGACATCCTTACGGAGGCCCCTTGGAGCACGATAAAGTGGTGCTATTTTGATTAAAATGAGTTACAAGGGGAGAAGGTAACAGGAACTGGGGGGGTCAGGCCAAACTAAAAAAGGGGGACTACACAGGTAGAGAAACTTCCGCGGGGGTTTCAGGGGACAAAAAAAGGGTGGGAAATCAGTAAACAGATGATGGAAATGTGGCAAAAAAGTGAAAGGAGGCAAGGAAAGTTTTGTTCCCAAGAAACGAATAATAGGAAGACCAAAACGATCCTTGGTTTACCCAAAGGTGTGGGGAGAAAAAACAAGTGCAACAGAGAATGGAAAAGGTACGGGAGGATAGGAAACCCCCCGAAAACAAGGGAAAGTAAAACCAAAACGAGTATGCACAGATAAGGGGGGGGCCCAGCGCAATAAAACGACATAGCACGAAAGTCAAATCTACCCAAACTGCTGTAAGCCACATTAGGGGGAAGACAACAGTCAAGGACCAGGTGAAAAGGCTGAGGAAAGAAGGGAGAAACCCCAAGAAAAGATCAAAGGTAGTGAGGACTCAAAACCCAAATTTAAGGAATAAAATTTCAGTAGAGTCCCGAAGGGCTCGGGGGGAACAACCAGATGGGGGCCCACAAGGAAAAACACCAACAAGTGTTGGACGACAACATACAGATGAGGGGGTGAAGAAAAATGCTAAGGGAAAAATCTTTTCCTCAAAGGCAATGGACCACAACATCTCCCCGGGGTCCTTTGAGAGGGAGCAATATGTTTTTCGTCCACTTTTCCACAATCTTTAACACGTCCCCCGAAACTGGGCACTACCTGAGGATGGAAAACGGCAAATGTAGTTCCCAAATTTTTAAAAAGGAGACAAAAAGAGGCAAAAAACTAAAGACCTTGTCATTGACGTGATAGTATGCAAAATTATGGAAAGATTATCAGAGGGGGAGTGGGGGAGCACCGAACGGAACAAAAGAAAAAAACCAACCAGCACGGATTCAGGAAAAGGGCAAATCCTGTGTCACAAACCTTCGGAGTTTTATGATAAAATAACAGAAGTAAGACACGAGAGAGAGGGTGGGTTGATATGCATCTTCTTGGACTGCAAGAATTCCTTTGACACAGTTCCTCACAAGAGATTAGTGCAGAAGCTAGAGCATCAGGCGCATATAACAGGAAGGGCACTGCAATGGATCAGAGAATACCTGACAGGGAGACAACAACGAGTCATGGTACGTAATGATGTATCGCAGTGGGCACCTGTGACGAGCGGGGTCCCACAGGGGTCGGTCCTAGGACCAGTGCTATTTTTGGTGTGTGAACGACATGATGGAAGGGTTAGACTCAGAAGTGTCCCTGTTTGCAGATGATGTGAAGTTAATGAGGAGAATTAAATCTGATGAGGACCAGGCAGGACTCAAAGAGACCTGGACAGACTGGACAAACCTGGTCCAGCAAATGGCTTCTCGAATTTAATCCTGCCAAATGCAAGTCATGAAGATAGGGAAGGGCACAGAAGACCACAGACCGAGTATAGGCTAGGTGGCCAAGACTGCAAACCTCACTCAAGGAGAAAGATCTTGGGGCGAGTATAACACCGAGCATGTCTCCGGAAGCACACATCAACCAGATAATTGCTGCACATATGGGCGCCTGGCAAACCTGAGAACAGCATTCCGACACCTTAGTAAGGAATCATTCAAGACACTGTACACCGTGTCATGTCAGGCCCATGCTGGAGTATGCAGGCACCTGTTTGGAACCCGCACTTGATAAAGCACGTCAAGAAACTAGAGAAAGTACAAAGGTTTGCGACAAGGTTAGTTCCAGAGCTAAGGGGAATGTCCTATGAAGAAAGATTAAGGGAAATCGGCCTGACGACACTTAAGGACAGGAGGGTCAGGGGAGACATGATAACGACATATAAAATACTGCGTGGAATAGACAAGGTGGACAAAGACAGGATGTTCCAGGGAGGGGACACAGAAACAAGAGGCCACAATTGGAAGTTGAAGACACAACTGAGTCAGAGAGATATTAGGAAGTATTTCTTCAGTCATAGAGTTGTAAGGCAGTGTAATAGCCTAGAAAATGACGTAGTGGAGGCAGGAACCATACACAGTTTTAAGACGAGGTTTGATAAAGCTCATGGAGCGGGGAGAGAGAGGACCCAGTAGCAACCGGTGAAGAGGCGGGGCCAGGAGCTAAGACTCGACCCCTGCAACCATAAATAGGCGAGTACAAATAGGTGAGTACACACACACACACACACACACACACGACGAAATCATTAAGTGAGGAAAGTAATGCTGCACTGAATCCCACCCGCCTGAGCTGGAACAGTGAGAGCAGTGAGGTATCATGAAGTGCAGCAAGAAGAACAGTATAGTATTAAGAAGTAGAGTAACAAGTACAGTGCCAATTAGTGTTCAGAATACCGAGAAGTGTGACGAGAAAAGTTAAACGCTATACCTGCCTAATTATATGCAATCAATCAATCAATAATAATCAATCATATATAATTACATGTATATTGTATACCTGTGCTCTAAATAAAACATACAAAATTAGGGGATGAATAGCTACGGAATGTTTAGGTACATAAAATGCTAATATTACAATGTACAGTAAGAGGCCAAAGCATTAGTTTATATATTCAGTTTCATACAAGATATGAATACAAATGTCAGTTTTTGGCTAGTGGCCATTTTATTATGTATGTTCAGGGG